AGGGAAGGGATGGTAGGGAAGGGATGGTACCTAGTATAGGAAGGGTAAGAACCATTCTCCTAATAGCACAACATCGCATTTTGACGTACACTTTACCTCAGGCCAAACGCTGATGGTCCAAAATGGTAATTGAATGTCAATGGTTATTGACAGATGTCCCGTTTTCTGTTCGTGGGTCCCCGGGTAGGTTAGGTTTGGGCACTTTAGGACAACAGTATATAATGACGTTGGGAGCGTTCTGAAGGACGGGCTGGGGAGAGAGGAAGGACAGGTGTGGGGTAGGAGAGGGACAGGTGTGGACCATGGGGTGGGGTAGGAGAGGGACAGGTGTGGACCATGGGGTGGGGTAGGAGAGGGACAGGTGTGGACCATGGGGTGGGGTAGGAGAGGGACAGGTGTGGACCACGGGGTGGAGGTAGGAGAGGGACAGGTGTGGACCATGGGGTGGGGTAGGAGAGGGACAGGTGTGGACCATGGGTGGGGTGGGGTAGGAGAGCGACAGGTGTGGACCACGGGCTGGGGTAGGAGAGGGACAGGTGTGGACCACGGAGTGGGGTAGGAGAGGGACAGGTGTGGACCACGGAGTGGGGTAGGAGAGGGACAGGTGTGGACCATGGGGTGGGGTAGGAGAGGGACAGGTGTGGACCACGGGGTGGGGTAGGAGAGGGACAGGTGTGGACCATGGGGTGGGGTAGGAGAGGGACAGGTGTGGGACATCAACATATACATCAACAAGAGTGTACAGATGGCCCAAACACTACAACAACAATAACAACCAGTTGACTGGTGAAGATTAAGCCACCCAAGAGGTGGCACGGGCATGAATAGCCCGTAACATGGAGGCTTGATGGAGCCAGTACCAGGAGCTGCCACTGGAGATGTGTGGATGGCTGGGGGTCTTCATAGAGTAACAACCAACCTACTTATAACCCCAAGACACAACTTCCAACCACACCAACTGCGAAAAGTAGCAAATAAAGTACTGCACTATGAAATTAAAAATGCTGTTGTACTTTTCAGGTAGAGTGAAGAACAGAAAAAAAAAAACTAATTGCTGCCGCCGCGGACGCGGACTGCGTGACGTCTCGCCCCGTCACGTCCTGAGTGGTGGATAAAGAATAACCTGCTTGTACACCTTCACAACCAAAGATCACAGTCACTAAAAAAATCTTCCACTTACGGGTTATTCATGCCCGTGCCACCTCTTGTGGTGGCTTAATCTTCATTAATCAATCAATGTTTGTACTTTTCTTCCTTAGAAGGAAGGCCTGGCGTACGGCTTCTTGAGGTTATCTTGAGATGATTTCGGGGCTTTAGTGTCCCCGCGGCCCGGTCCTCGACCAGGCCTCCACCCCCAGGAAGCAGCCCGTGACAGCTGACTAACACCCAGGTACCTATTTTACTGTTAGGTAACAGGGGCATAGGGTGAAAGAAACTCTGTCCATTGTTTCTCGCCGGCGCCTGGGATCGAACCCGGGACCATAGGATCACAAGTCCAGCGTGCTGTCCGCTCGGCCGACCGGCTCCACCATACAGCAATACGCCCGGCCTTGGAAATCTGGAACGGGACTTAAGTGGAGAGCTAATTCTCCCTCACCCCTCGCACTCCACAGTCTTGAACCACCGAGAGCTTATCCTTGGTAGGAACTTTATGGTCGTGTATATTTCTCTTTTTGTAATAAGAAGCGCCATGCAGCTCATAAGCACATCAGATTAAACATCCTCAGAAGCTTTCCCTGTTTTCGAAGAGATATCCACTGGTATAAGCTCATGTAGGATTAGTGAAGAACGTCTTGGAAAGTGGAATTAATGGACCCAGGGTTCATGTAGCACGTCCTGCTGAAAAGTGGAAATCTCAGGGATAATTTAAGGAGAAATAAAAAGCACATCTAATTATCTACATTGCAGCTAAATGAGAGTTTGGAGCAATTTTTTTTTTTTTTTTTTTTGAGATATATACAAGAGTTGTTACATTCTTGTACAGCCACTAGTACGCGTAGCGTTTCGGGCAGGTCCCTGGAATACGATCCCCTGCCGCGAAGAATCGTTTTTTCATCCAAGTACACATTTTACTGTTGCGTTAAACAGAGGCTACAGTTAAGGAATTGCGCCCAGTAAATCCTCCCCGGCCAGGATACGAACCCATGGCATATTAGCGCTCGCGGAACGCCAGGCGAGTGTCTTACCACTACACCACGGAGACCAATTATATTACTCCTTAATATAATTGCTACATCACGAACAGACAGCTACACTTTCATAAGGCTCTAGTACGGCCGCATCTAGAATATCCACCAGCGCCAATACATACCTTAAAGGAAACTAATGCAAAAACATATGCAAAAACTACAAGCAGTGCAAAATAAGTCACTAAGAAGAGCAGCGAAACACCGTCCACCATATGATCAGACAATCCAGAAGCTCCGGGAACTCCTGAACACACAGCCACTAAACATCAGACTACAGCACCAAGCCACCAGGGTGTGCAACACCCTAGTTATGATATAGGACACGGCTAATGCTTGAAAGATTACTCCACGGTAAGACGCCCCACTCCCACAGCTGGTGGCCCAAGATGAGACGCCTCATTCCCACAGCTGGTGGCCCAAGATGAGACGCCCCACTCCCACAGCTGGTGGACCAAGATGAGACGCCCCACTCCCACAGCTGGTGGCCCAAGATGAGACGCCCCGCTCCCACAGCTGGTGGACCAAGATGAGACGCCCCACTCCCACAGCTGGTGGCCCCAAGATGAGGCGCCCCACTTAAATTAAACAATTCCTATATGAAATACTTCCCCATTAACAAATAAGTAAATAAACATATAAATAATGGCGGTAAGAGACAGGGCGGGGGGGGGAGGGTGATAGGAGAATTGTGAAAGAGATGGGTGTAGGGGTATATGGTTATTGGGGAGGGGGCGGGGATGGGAGGTATGGGGAAGGAAATGGGCAAGGGGCTGTGGGTAGGGGGACAGGGATAACGGGATGGGGGTCGTGTGGGAAGGGGTGGTAATGTGGGGAGCCAACTTCCGGCCAGCGTCGCCCGGCGTCTTTCATTCTTAATTAGCAAGTCTTCGTTGCTTCTTATTGCATCTTATCCACTTATCTGGCCTTTTTTTTTAATTGAGACAAGGGCTCATGAGGGCTGTTAAATGACGTGCCTGGTGAAACTGCAAGCAAGAGCTGTTATCCTACCTCAGCTCATATGAAGCCTGCTCCTAGAAACTCATTCATTTCATGAGAATGTACTTTGAAACTATCACAAAGGGAACTATCATAAAGCAATTATCATATAAGGAACCTGGTGAAACTGCATGCAGGTAGATGCTCTCTCTCTCTCTCTCTCTCTCTCTCTCTCTCTCTCTCTCTCTCTCTCTCTCTCTCTCTCTCTCTCTCTCTCTCTCTCTCTCTCTCTCTCTCTCTCTCTCTCTCCCCCAAATGAGAGCCCACATTGGCTTCATTACACAGCCTCTACACCGGGTTTATTGCTGGTTAATGACCATCACTTGTGAGGACCGTGGCTGGTTGGGGAACTCTGGGAATGTATCGCTCAGGTCATTAGTCGAGGGTCGCCCCTCACACTCTTGTTACAGTGCTGCCCACTCCCTCCCATCCCTCTACCCATCCTCCAGCTCCTCCTCCTCCTCCTTCTTCTCTTCCTCCTCCTCCTTCGCTTCTATCAGATCTTCCTTCTCATTGTCGCAGCTATTTACTATTTGCTTTACTAATTTGGGGAACACAAAACGTAAGGTAACAATGAAAGAGTGATCAATTTGAGACTAAATGTTGAATCATAATTAGCGACCCCCTTCTGTCATCCTTATTTGTAGCGGCCCTATCTGTAACGACCGACTCTGTAACGACCGGCTCTGTAACACCTCTGCCTGTAACGACCCTATCTGTAACGACCGTCTCTGTAACACCTCTGCCTGTAGCGGCCCTATCTGTAACGACCGGCTCTGTAACACCTCTGCCTGTAACGACCCTATCTGTATAACGACCGTCTCTGTAACACCTCTGCCTGTAACGACCCTATCTGTATAACGACCGGCTCTGTAACACCTCTGCCTGTAGCGGCTCTATCTGTAACGACCGGCTCTGTAACACCTCTGCCTGTAACGACCCTATCTGTAACACTTCTGCCTGTAACGACCCTATCTGCAACGACTCTATAACGGCCCCTCTTTGTAACGACCCAGTCTGTAGACTCAAAGTTATTAGCGAATTAATTTGAGGGAGGGACGGCATGCAACACCCTAGATATGGCGCTGATAAACTCGAGGCCGTTGCGTGTGGTAATCTGCGTGCAATGTGGAGTGTAATTGTTGGTTTACATGTTAACTAGGTATTGTGCGTGAGGCTTGTTGACAGTCTGGGGGAGACGAGTGTAAACACATCACTGGGGTGGTGTGAACACCCTCCACTGGTGAACACACACTCCACTGGTGAACACACTCCACTGGTGAACACACTCCACTGGTGAACACACACTCCACTGGTGAACACACACTCCACTGGTGAACACACACTCCACTGGTGAACGCACTCCACTGGTGAACACACTCCACTGGTCAACATACTCCACTGGTCAACACACACTCCACTGGTCAACACACACTCCACTGGTGAACGCACTCCACTGGTGAACACACTCCACTGGTCAACATACTCCACTGGTCAACACACACTCCACTGGTCAACACACACTCCACTGGTGAACACCCTCCACTGGTGAACACACTCAGGACTCAAGTGTGTGTGCGTTCGTGGGTCTGTATATATTAGATGAATGTCTGTTTAGTGTCTCACACTTCATTGATGTTTACATCAACCCCTCCACCCCCCCCCTCCTAATGTATTGTGGTGTATGAATGACTTTTCTCCTCCCCCACCTTGTTCTCCTCCCCCACCTTGTCCTCCTTCTCCACCTTGTTCTCCTTCTCCACCTTGTTCTTCTCCATCTTGTTCTCCTTCTCCACCTTGTTCTCCTCCCCCCACCTTGTTCTCCTTCTCCACCTTGTTCTCCTCCCCCACCTTGTTCTCCTCCCCCCACCTTGTTCTCCTTCCACGCCTTGTTCTCCTTCTCCACCTTATTCTCCTTCTCCACCTTGTTCTCCTCCCCCACCTTGTTCTCCTCCCCCTTCTTGTTTTCCTTCTCCATCTTGTTCTCCCTCCCCGCCTTGTTCTCCTCCCCCCACCTTGTTCTCCTCCCCCCACCTTGTTCTCCTTCCACGCCTTGTTCTCCTTCTCCACCTTGTTCTTCTCCATCTTGTTCTCCTTCTCCACCTTGTTCTCCTCCCCCACCTTGTTCTCCTTCCACGCCTTGTTCTCCTTCTCCACCTTGTTCTCCTTCCCCGTCTTGTTCTCCTTCTCCACCTTGTTCTCCCCCCACCTTGTTCTCCTCCTCCACCTTGTTCTCCTCCCCCACCTTGATCTCCTCCCCCACCTTGATCTCCTCCCCCACCTTGTTCTCCTCCCCCACCTTGATCTCCTCCCCCACCTTGATCTCCTCCCCCATCTTGTTCTCCTTCTCCACCTTGTTCTCCTCCCCCCACCTTGTTCTCCTTCTCCACCTTGTTCTCCTTCTCCACCTTGTTCTCCTCCTACACCTTGTTCTCCTCCTCCACCTTGATCTCCTCCCCACCTTGATCTCCTCCCCCACCTTGTTCTCCTCCTCCACCTTGTTCTCCTCCCCCACCTTGTTCTCCTCCCCCACCTTGATCTCCTCCCCCACCTTGATCTCCTCCCCCACCTTGTTCTCCTCCCCCACCTTGATCTCCTCCCCCACCTTGTTCTCCTCCCCCACCTTGATCTCCTCCCCCACCTTGATCTCCTCCCCCACCTTGTTCTCCTCCTCCACCTTGTTCTCCTCCCCCACCTTGATCTCCTCCCCCACCTTGATCTCCTCCCCCACCTTGATCTCCTCCCCCACCTTGATCTCCTCCCCCACCTTGATCTCCTCCCCCACCTTGATCTCCTCCCCCACCTTGATCTCCTCCCCCACCTTGATCTCCTCCCCCACCTTGTTCTCCTCCCCCACCTTGATCTCCTCCCCCACCTTGATCTCCTCCCCCACCTTGATCTCCTCCCCCACCTTGTTCTCCTCCCCCACCTTGATCTCCTCCCCACCTTGATCTCCTCCCCCACCTTGATCTCCTCCCCCACCTTGATCTCCTCCCCCACCTTGATCTCCTCCCCCACCTTGATCTCCTCCCCCACCTTGATCTCCTCCCCCACCTTGATCTCCTCCCCCACCTTGATCTCCTCCCCCACCTTGATCTCCTCCCCCACCTTGTTCTCCTCCCCCACCTTGATCTCCTCCCCCACCGTTATCTCCTCCTCCACCTTGATCTCCTCCCCCACCTTGATCTCCTCCCCCACCTTGATCTCCTCCCCCACCTTGATCTCCTCCCCCACCTTGTTCTCCTTCTCCACCTTGTTCAACATTAGGGAAGATGTATCCTCTCAGATATCAACAGTGTGTATGTTCATCTCTCCCTTTGCCAAAAGTAAGCATTGGACTCTATTCTCAAGAAGTTAAGGCTTAATAGTTAAGACAGTACCAACGGAAAGTAATCCAATGGTGTGATAATTGATAGTCAACGGAAGAATCTCAATTAATTTTATTTTTTTCTCTTAGGAGATAAGCGAACATACGGTCAAATTTTTCCATTATAAGCAGATGGCGCCGTGATTCCTTCGACGATCAGGAAGTTTACAGGGATTTATGCGGGAAGATCTGAGCCAGTGATGCTACTCGCGGTCAGAGACGACAAAAGGGCCGAAGCCGCCAAGCCTCAAAACGCGCTCTGTGAGCCCCTGGCGCAAGAGTGCTGCTGCGCGCCACGTCGTCGACAACGCGGGCTGTCGGAGTCGCTGGGCGGTAAGGCACGGTTACACCAGACGTTGTAAAAGATGAAAATTACACCCTTTCCTTAGCGGAGGTGGCTCTTATCTGGAAGTGTTCTGCGGCCTGGAGTCTAGCCCCTCGTCCTCCAACCCCGTCCCCCACACCTTCGGGAACCCCGGAGTTATGGAATCAGAAGGCCATTAATTCTTTCCAGCCTGTTATTGCCCGGTGTGATCAGGGTTTCAGATATAACACGCTCGCCAGAACCACACACCTTAACCTACGCTAACTGCATACTCTTTTGCATATTAGGGCTCTCTGCTCTCCTCTCCTGGGCAGGGGGGCCGGGGAGGAGAAAAAGAAACGATCATTCGACCATTAAATTATAAGAAATTGCGCAATGCGTCTGTGAATTACCGCTAGTGGTCGTCGTTCAGGACACCCCGGTAAAACCAGTGGCCGGTTTAGCGAGGGTGGGGCGGCCCCAGGGGGAGGGAGGGAGGGAGGGCTCACCGGCAGCTTATACGAAGTGTCAATAAGGCAGCATGAAAGGGAATATATAAGGGTAGAGATGGCTGCTTAAGGGAGAATGAAGAAGTTTATAGGACTGGGAAAGGAAATTTGAAGAGGGTAGAATTTTAGAGCATAGGGGAAGTGGAGGATAAGGGAAAGAATAGAAGTGAAGGGGAAAGTGGTGGGGAAGATTTGAAATGACGCTGTGATGGGGAAGATAGGGTGAGATGCTGGTGAAGGGGGTAGAGGGAAAGGTGAGAGACTGGTGATAGGGGTAGAGGAAGAGGTGAGAGACTGGTGATGGGGGGGTAGACGAAGAAGCGAGAGGCTGGTGATGGGATGGAGGAATGTCTCCATTGACAAAAAGTCTTCAAAGAAGTAAGTCGTCATGAATTATTTGTCAAATGGGAATAAGTCGCCATTAAGATAAATCTCCAGATATATTGGTCTTCCTGGAGATTAGTATCTGTGAAGATATTCTTCCTGGAAAATAAGTCGCCATAAAGAAACGTTTCCTTCAAGATAAGTCTCCAAGAAGATGAGAGAGAGAGAAAGATACAGAAAGAGAGAAAAATACAGAAAGAGAGAAAGATACAGAGAGAGTTTGAAAGAGAGACAGAGACAAAGAGAGACAGAGACAAAGAGAGAGAGAGAGACAGAGAGAGAGAGAGAGACATCAGAGGCTGTAAGAGCTTACATGAAGCACAAGTTCACTCTCATCTCATGTATGTACCCCCTCTCCTGGAGTGCCTGCCCTCCATCATTCATCAGAATTTTGGAGAAAGTTGAGAACCATGTCAGAAAGCTTAACTCAAGTCTGGGCCATGTCAGGTGAGAATGTTCTGAACATCAAAGCCTCCAACACCATCGTGAGGTTTGTTGACTTACTCACATGTACAACGTCAACATTCTCAAAGTTCCGAACGTGGCTCAGCTTCGTGGACAACCAGCAGTTGGCACCCGTGACACAAGTCTCTCAGCCATCAACCAGCCTCAGGCTGGAACTGCCATTCTCAAGAACATCACTCCAACAGCGATCATTAATTAATTTCTAGGCTGACCCGCATCTAGAACGTGTTCGCTCAACAGGTTGATACACGTTAGACCAGGTCAACCGATCACATGAAGGCTCTGGCACACAGTTGGCTACAGGATCATCCTGATCTTTGTATCATAATTACTTAGTTTCAAATGATAATCTCATGCAATAAACGAGACTCTGGACGCCTGCCTAAGATGAGCTGAGGTAGGATAACAACTCTTGCTTGCATTTTTACTAAATACGTCATCTGACAAACTTTATGAACCCTAGAATTAGTTAAAAAAAAAGTAAGAGAGAGAAGAGCGATTGAGAGAGAGAGAGAGAGAGAGCTGTTCAAGGTTTCATCCTAGGAATGGTCAGCAGTTAGCTAAGTTGACTAGATAAAACACACACACACACACACACACACACACACACACACACACACACACACACACACACACACACACACACACACACACACACACACACACACACACACACACACACACACACACACACACACACACAAAACACGCTCGTTTCACATAAACCTGGGTAGGAATGACTGGGCACCAAACTATAACTGGGCTCGTCGCCAACCAATTGTTAAGTCGCGTGCCTGGTAATACTGGTAGGGTAGGTTTTGTTAACATGGAGGCCACCGGGGGGGGGCTGGTGAACATGGAGGCCACGGGGGGGGGGGGTGAACTTAGAGGCCACCGAGGGGGGGGCTGGTGAACATGGAGGCCACCGGGGGGGTGGGGGAGGGGCTGGTGAACCTTGAGGCCACCGGGTTGGCGGGGCTGGTGAACACAACATAACTATGTGAAGTGTTGGACCATCAGTGGTCGTGGAGCGACTCACTCCGACACCCCAGAGGACAAGTACATAGACAGCCCGCAGGGAGCCAGACAGACAGACTGGCAGATATACGGGATGGCTGGTAGGGAAACAGGTAAGCAGGATGATCCATAATGTTGAAGTCAGGCAAGTATACAGGTAGACAGGTAATGAAACAGGCAGGTATACAGGTAGACAGGTAGTGAAAGAAACAGAAAGACAGACATTGGAGCGGGAATTGTCATGGCAACCAAAGGAGATGCTCCTTATGATTTCCTCCACAACGCCTCCAGATTATGATATACAGACTCTGAATGGCTGCGAGTTACTGTGCCATATACCCAATCAGTTGTCAACCTGGCCTCCAATTACTGCTGGGTGGACGGAGGCTCGAACCCAGCTTCAAACCTTCCTGAGGCGTTGGACGAGTGTGCTGCAGTTCAACCATGGCTGCAAAAGGACTCAACACAGAGAATTGAGAGCAGGATTGAGAGTGGTACACTCTCAATCCAAGAGTGGTACACTCTCAATCGTCTGAAATGAGCGCAGTACATCAACAGAATACGGCTCTCTTAATACTGGAGGCGAAGTTATCAGACTGGCTCTCCACCTCTCTTGACGGACATGTTCAACGGTTGGCAAACTCACTCCTGGTTCCCAAGGGAGGCGGGCGATCTTGGCACTTGTGCCACACCCGTGAAATTCGCAGAAAACATGGCATTGGCGACCCCTCCAGGATTGTCAAAACACCAGGCCCCAGTGGCACTCAGAGCCTCCACAGGTGGAGACTTGTAGAAACATATGGTGTAGACTCTTGTCGTGGACTCATTAGTTACTGTCGACCATCGTGGCTTCTGACACCAGCGCCGCCCGGGTCTGGCGTCCCAGCCTGGGCCCCCGGCCGGGCGCCAGAGAGCTGTCACAGCATCAACAGCTGTAATTGTAGCAGCAGCAGCAGGAGCATCAGCAGTTGTAGTTGTAGCAGCAGCAGCAGGAACATCAGCAGCTGTAGTTTCAGCAGCAGTAGCAGCAGGAGCATCAACAGTGTAGTTGTAGCGGCAGCAGCAGCAGGAGCATCAACAGCTGTAGTTGTAGCAGCAGGAGCATCAACAGCTGTAGTTGTTGCAGCAGCAGCAGCATCAACAGCTGTAGTTGTAGCAGCAGCAGCATCAGCAGCTGTAGTTGTAGCAGCAGAAACAGCAGGTTCATCAACAGCTGTAGTTGCAGCAGCAATAGCAGCAGGAGCATCAACAGCTGTAGTTGCAGGAGCAGCAGCAGCAGCAGCAGGATCATCAACAGCTGTAGCAGCAGCAGCGGCAGCATCAACAGCTGCAAAATACCCAGAATCAACAACACCTTCAGCCACAGTAACAATAACACACACATCGTAAATTCGCGTGGCGGTGAGCGCCTCTCCCCCTCAAACATATGACCCAGGTTCGAGCCCTCGACAGGAAGAGACGACCGAGCACCGCTCCTCCTCCAGTGTTCCCGCCTGTCCACCCGGCTGTTGTGTCTGGCCTCCTGGACCTAACTTCAAGCTTTCACAGCCATCAGGCTGGCTTTATTTACACCGTTTACGAGCTGTAAAACTCACACATGGAGCGCTTAAACTGTTTAACAAATTGTAAATAAAGCCGCTATGATCCAGGAAAGATGCACAGGTTTCGCAGGTTGTTGGAGTAGATACTGGAGTAATTAATCCTCCGACGATCTGAAAGTAAACTGGGTGAGGGACCGTGTACCGGGGGAGACCTGACGGTGAATAATTTCTAACCGGTTCCAGTACCTCGACTCTCAGGTGGAGTCCAGCATTAAGAAAAGTCAATTAAAAACTACTGCAGTGGCCGACGCAACGGAAGGCTGCAGGTGTGTTAACAGTAGATGCTGCAGGTGTGTTAACAGTAGATGCTGCAGGTGTGGTAACAAGTAGATGCTGCAGGTGTGGTAACAAGTAGATGCTGCAGGTGTGTTAACAGTAGATGCTACAGGTGTGTTAACAGTAGATGCTGCAGGTGTGGTAACAAGTAGATGCTGCAGGTGTGTTAACAGTAGATGCTGCAGGTGTGGTAACAAGTAGATGCTGCAGGTGTGTTAACAGTAGATGCTACAGGTGTGTTAACAGTAGATGCTGCAGGTGTGTTAACAGTAGATGCTGCAGGTGTGTTAACAGTAGATGCTGCAGGTGTGGTAACAAGTAGATGCTGCAGGTGTGTTAACAGTAGATGCTGCAGGTGTGGTAACAAGTAGATGCTGCAGGTGTGGTAACAAGTAGATGCTGCAGGTGTGGTAACAAGTAGATGCTGCAGGTGTGTTAACAGTAGATGCTGCAGGTGTGGTAACAAGAAGATGCTGCAGGTGTGTTAACAGTAGATGCTGCAGGTGTGTTTACAGTAGATGCTGCAGGTGTGGTAACAAGTAGATGCTGCAGGTGTGTTAACAGTAGATGCTGCAGGTGTGGTAACAGTAGATGCTACAGGTGTGGTAACAAGTAGATGCTGCAGGTGTGGTAACAAGTAGATGCTGCAGGTGTGGTAACAAGTAGATGCTGCAGGTGTGGTAACAGTAGATGCTACAGGTGTGGTAACAAGTAGATGCTGCAGGTGTGGTAACAAGTAGATGCTGCAGGTGTGGTAACAAGTAGATGCTGCAGGTGTAGTAACAAGTAAATGCTGCAGGTGTGGTAATAGTAGATGCTGAAGGTGTGGTAACAAGTAGATGCTGCAGGTGTGGTAATAGTAGATGCTGAAGGTGTGGTAACAAGTAGATGCTGCAGGTGTGGTAATAGTAGATGCTGCAGGTGTGGTAATAGTAGATGCTGCAGGTGTGGTAATAGTAGATGCTGCAGGTGTGTTAACAGTAGATGCTGCAGGTGTGTTAACAGTAGATGCTGCAGGTGTGTTAACAGTAGATGCTGCAGGTGTGGTAACAGTAGATGCTGCAGGTGTGGTAACAAGTAGATGCTGCAGGTGTGGTAACAGTAGATGCTGCAGGTGTGTTAACAGTAGATGCTGCAGGTGTGGTAACAGTAGATGCTGCAGGTGTGTTAACAGTAGATGCTGCAGTTGTGTTAACAACAGCCGCTACATCACCATTAACAGAATTAATTTATTGTCGGGAGAAAGCGCCAAGAAATTTCGACTTTATAGCACTTGGAAGGGGTCAGGATTAGGATTTAGGATGGTACGGGGGGGGGGAGGAATGGTGCCCAACCACTTGAACGGTTGGGGATTGAACACCGACCTGCATGAAGCGAGACCGTCGCTCTACCGTCCAGTCAAAGTGGCTGGACGCTGGCTCACCAACAGAAGTGAAGCATTTTAATTACGTATACATACAGTGTGTATGTATACATAATACATAATTACATAAGTGTGTATGTATACATAATTACGTATACATACACAGCTAACCAGCTGTGTATATATTTCGTCTGTCGTTGTAGTCTTAAGTTGCAGCTGGAGAAGCCTTATGCTACGTAACAGAAGTAAAAGTAGACTTAGTCAAGGTATCGACAGTATCATTAGCCTAAGTAGCAGTGCTGCCAGTAACAGTAGCAGTTGTTACCGGAGCAGCATTACTCTAAGCAGCAGTAGTGGTCTGAGTTGCAGAAGAAGTAGCCGCAGTATTAGTCTACGTTACAGAAGTAGCAGTGGCAGCATTAATCTAAGAAGCAGAAGTAGAAGCAGTAGCATTAGTCTAAGTTGCAGAAGGAGCAGCAGCAGCTGCAGCAGCATTATTCTAGGCAGCAAAAGTAGCAGCAGCCGGTAATCTAAGAAGCAGAAGTAGTAACAGTCCAAGGAGCAGAAGCAGCATTATCCTAATTAGCAGAAACAACAACAGCAGTAGAATCAATGACACCCTCAGCAGCAAGATAAGCAGTAACCATAACAGCAGCAACTCAGGTAGCAGCAGCAGCTGAAGTGATAGCAACAGCAACTGAAGTGATAGCAACAGCAACTGAAGTGATAGCAACAGCAACTGAAGTGATAGCAACAGCAGCAATAGTTACAGCAGTAGCAGCAGCATATAGCAGCATATCCAGATCAGTCGACGGGTGACAGACTGGACCAGCCACACCCTCCCCTCCCCCCGTTAAACCATGTGGTGGGGTGGGGTGGGGTGGGGGGGGGACATGGAAGGGGCACCCCCCCTCCCTCCCGACCACCACCCAAATATGGCCACTGTCCACTATTTCCAGTCGATTTTGGGGCGGATTAAAAATGGCCCCGCGGAGGAGGAGAGCGTGTCAGCTCCGCTCTTCACATAAATTACGGTATAATTGACAGCTGAATCCAAGATGAGCTGCTTACTGGAATGATAGAGAGCGCCACCACCTCCTTCCACTCTATTTCTTCTCCCGACAAAAGCAGGGGATTCCAGCGGCCAGGTCGACCTCCCTCCCTCTGTACGCGGCTAGCGTGCCTTGCCCTTTGAAATATTCGATAAATAGAATCGTAAGAGGGCATAACCCAGCCGGATCCTTAATTCCATGGGATATGTTGTTCGATTTTCGCGTTAACCGGATTAAAATCTGAATTAAAAGAATGTCCAGATGTCAGGGTCGTAGCAGTGATAGCGCACAGCGCCCGTCTCGGCCGGGCGGGGGAGGCTTCCAAGTCAATTAAATAGTGACTTAATGTCGGTGGCATTTGAGGGATGCTGGGGTAGAGAGAGAGAGAGAGAGAGGAGCGGCTGGGTACAGCGGACATCTTGGTGATTGGGATGTGTGTGTGTGTGTGTGTACTCACCTAGTTGTACTCACCTAGTTGTGTTTGCGGGGGTTGAGCTCTGGCTCTTTGGTCCCGCCTCTCAACCGTCAATCAACAGGTGTACAGATTCCTGAGCCTATCGGGCTCTGTCATATCTACACTTGAAACTGTGTATGGAGTCAGCCTCCACCACATCACCCCCTAATGCATTCCATTTGTCAACCACTCTGACACTAAAAAAGTTCTTTCTAATATCTCTGTGGCTCATTTGGGCACTCAGTTTCCACCTGTGTCCCCTTGTGCGTGTTCCCCTTGTGTTAAATAGACTGTCTTTATCTACCCTATCAATCCCCTTCAGAATCTTGAATGTGGTGATCATGTCCCCCCTAACTCTTCTGTCTTCCAGCGAAGTGAGGTTTAATTCCCGTAGTCTCTCCTCGTAGCTCATACCTCTCAGCTCGGGTACTAGTCTGGTGGCAAACCTTTGAACCTTTTCCAGTTTAGTCTTATCCTTGACTAGATATGGACTCCATGCTGGGGCTGCATACTCCAGGATTGGCCTGACATATGTGGTATACAAAGTTCTGAATGATTCTTTACACAAGTTTCTGAATGCCGTTCGTATGTTGGCCAGCCTGGCATATGCCGCTGATGTTATCCGCTTGATATGTGCTGCAGGAGACAGGTCTGGCGTGATATCAACCCCCAAGTCTTTTTCCTTCTCTGACTCCTGAAG